TTTTCTGTCTAGCTATAAATTCTATTTTGATATGACAGGTTTTGTCTGTGATTTTTGATACTCAGGAGCATGGTTTTAAATTATGAAGAGCACCTAAAAAGACTGTCCTTTGGACTTTGTAAGAACTGTCTATCACTGAATAACTAAGTGGAACTTTTTTGGCTCTGGGCTACACCTGACAATTTTTCTGTGATGTCCATAAATACATCCTCTGCTTGGGAAGCCCACTGAAATGAGTTGGCTAAGGAACCAGTATCACTGAGATGTTGGGCAGGATGCAGACATTGACATAGGATATTTTTCATTCTGGAACCTTCATGCAGAGTGCGCAGTATTTCCCCTCTAATCAGAAGCATGTACTTGCATCTCAGTTGTCCCCTGTTCACATTCTGTCATTAGGAACGTAGGGTAGGCAGTGAAAACTTCATTTCCCATAGTATCTTCAAGGAAATCTGTGGGATTATCGCCACCTGTTACCACTGTGCAGCACTCAGATGCTGTTCCACTTTGTGAGGTGAGATGGAAAGTGAATGCAAATGTGAAAGACAATTGTGAGGATGGATGGCTGCAAAAGAGGTAGGCTGACCTGCCTCAGGATCTATGTCTGGCTATCCTGGGACTCTACATTTCAGTACTACTTCCATGATCTTTCTCTGATGCTTGTTTTCCCTCTGTTTATTTTCCTACTTCATCTCTTTTCGACTTTTCTGGTCTCTCAGTGCTTCACCAGTGCTTTTTGCTCCCTTGCTTTCAAATTGCATCCATTCAGAAAAAGAAAAAATGAACAACTGAATTTATTTTAACAGATTCAAACATGCACACTAATGCTGGTGAGACACACACTACACACACTCTGGTAGGGCGCAGTTGCCGAAGTGTAGCTGTATTGTGCTCTTGAGGATGCCTTTGTACAGCTGGAGTCTTCAATCTTTGATTAGCCTCCTGGGGACGTCCTCACATATCACGTTAAAGAGCTGGGGACAAAACAGTTTGCATGTTTTCAATAATTCTTAATGACTCTATAGGGGTCTGTGCTTTCCTCCTGTCTCCAGGTTGGGGATTTTCAAAAATGCTTTGTTGACTGATGGATGTTCCAATTAAGGACAGTAGAAAGGCGCTTTTGAGTGTAGTAGAAGTTGAGACTGAATAATCGCAATCACGCATTTTGAAAATCTCATCATTCATAATTTTGTAGTATAGAAGCTGAGTGTAAAATAAATGCTGAGAACTCAGGTGCTTGCAAGCAGATGACAGCTAGTCTTTGGCTTGTTATTTGTCTATAGGTATTCTTCAGTTCAACATTCCCTTGTCCTTGTCCTAGTTGTTATCCTTTCCATCTCACTACAATTTATTCACCCTTAGACATTGCAATACATGGTTGAAAAACATTATTGTAATTTGTACAGTACATGAATAAAGGTTGTTGCTGGGGAGTCCATCTAAGTGAGTAGGAAAGGGTAAAGTATAGAAGACATCTGAAAATGTGTCTCCAGTTTCTTCTCGGTCAGTTCATATTAGCTGTGATATTGATTGTAGCTATTCTGATTGCCTGAAGGGCATGCTTGCAATATTTCTTCTATAGCATAAAAAGCAATATGGATGTATTAAGCACATGCAGTGTGTTTCTGCAAGGAGAGGTTGAAAGGAAAGGACATAAACATCCATGAAGTGCTCAAGGTTTTTACTGGAAGGGGCAAGATTTTTGTCTACCTGTCTTTCTGCATGGCACTGCAAGCGTTTTGGATGATGTCATTCGACTACAAGATCTTGTAAGGACTATTCAATGCTATCACATACTTTTCTGGCAAACTTTGTTCGAACGGTTGAAGAATATTCATATAATTAGGCTTCAGGTGTTAAATATGTTATTCCTCAAACATTGGTTTTAACTCCTGTTTTTTGAAACCTGGTTGACCTTTCTCTATATTCACAGGATTCTGTTAGTGCGGTATTACAGCCATGAGTTTTTGCTGCTTTTTGTAATGCATAGCTAGGAAAGCTATTTGCTGGAAATCCCAGATTTGATTTGATTTCTATTCTATCTATTTTGAGATTTTTGTAGTTAGATGAGTTTTTGAATTGCCTTGTGCATGGCCAGTATTGAAGTATTTCTCCTACTATTATCAGCATTATTTTGTATTATGGGTTTATAAATATGACTCAAAACTCTAAACCCACAAAAAGAAAGGAAAATGGGCCTGTAATTAGTGAGTTTCTCTTTAATATGATACTGGATTTCTAACTTCTCCCTTTGTTCTCTGCCCTTTCCACATGTATAACAACATGCATTTCAGCTGTTTCTTTCATATTGTTTTGTTAATAATGGTATATTTATTAATCTATGTGAGTAGATTTCTTGATACAAAAATGAAGAGGGGAAGAGTCTAGGGCTTACAGATGTTGCTCTTTCAGGATTTTATTTTTTTTCTACTTCCTTTAAAGGGAGGAAGAAGTGATCATTGAATTTCAGATTTGCTCTGTCACATTTATCAGAAAAAAAGTTTCTGCACTTGACTAGAATGTGCTGTGACAAATATGAATAAAAGAAGGAGGGATAATTGCTATTTCTTAGTGAAAAATGCAATTGCAGAGTCAGTGCTACTGACCAAGCTAAATGAGAGCCAAAAAAAATTGTTATTGCTGCAGAGTTTGATTCTGGATGCCAAAATTAAATTTGATCTTCCCATTGGTATTCTAGTGTATTCTAATCCAGCCTAGTTTCAAGGCTATGGGCTTTTGAATTACTTTTGATATACAAATCTACATTTTCTGCATAAGCAAATTCCTGGGGAAGGTTGTGGAGTCTCTGTCAGAGGATGCTGTTCCCAAGTCCCAGGCTGGTTTTTGGCTTACAGAAGTGGACATGACCTGCTCTGACATCCAAATCCTTTTTCACTAGTCCTTATGGAAATAATCATGTTCTACTTCATTCAGGAAAAAAAACGGAATTCCAAATCCACATTTGTTCAAACCAGCCTCAGCTGTAGGTCCTTCCTGAGGTTTAATAAACTGTTTAACACAAGAGCTGTCAAGATTATTTTCACTGTAATGTGGCTAAGCTAGAATTGGAGGATCCTATTTTATCAATGATCCTCTGCTTGTATTGCTCTGGGAGTCCCCAGGGTCCTGACTGTGATTTAAATCTTCCTTGTTCTGGTGACAGCTTTGTCCATTATCAGTGGCTGCAGTCTCTGGGAATAGTTCCTCCATGTTCACCAGAGCTGTTTCTTCCCGAGAATTAATTGCATTAAAGTGAACTAAGTAAAGCAGTGCCCAGCAAGGAAACACACTCCTCTTAAAAAAGGACAAAAAGTTCACTCGTAATTTATACCAATCCACTGTGAGAATCCCTACTAATGCTTAAGTACTGAAATAATCCATATCCTAGGTCTAAGCTACTCATGACTTGTCATGTATTAGGGACATAGAGCATCTTTGGGATGAGGCACTTGTGACCTGTACAGTGATGTACTGACCAACAGTGGGAAAAGGAGATTTTTGTGTTCTTTGACCCACTTATATGCTTGTGGAGACTATAGAACTAATGGTACTGACTAGTGAAAACATGTGGCCCTTTTCACAGAACTGATAGAGTAGTTTCAATATTTCACTAAAAGCCTTCTGTTTTGGAATGAATAAAAATCAGAGTCCTTACGTATCCAGTAAAAATATTGTTAATTAAACCATTTAACTGAGTTTGCACAAGCCATGCAACTCGGAGAATGAACAACTTGTGCATAATTTATGTTTAAACTTTATGCTTCCTCCCTTTTTTATTTGTGTGTCTGTGTGATTTTGTTGAATATAAACATCTAAAAATGAAACAGGTGCCAGTGGAAACAATTCTAGATGGGTTCTGTGTTGCAGGTGGGAATATACTCTGCAGGATATGTGTGAGAGGGGTATATGCTGATGTACAGGAATAAAGAGTATTCCTATGGCTTGAAAGTACATTTAGCATAGGCACTTAGAGTAAATCCCCAAAATACAGCTGAAGAAGTGGAAAGCACTCTGAAAATGATGCTTCATCATCATTGCATATCTTTGCTGCTAATGCCTCCCCCACAGTAAAATTTTCAAGGATACAGGAAATGTGGAATGATATTGCAGTAAGGAACGCATTGCTACCTCTCAAGTCACATGGCATCTGCTGCGGAGTTGATCTGTTTTGCTTCTAATCTTATATGTGTAGAGCTGGGCAATGCATACAAAGAGCATTACAGAATACAGCATCAAAAGAAAACCCTGATGTGTTGGCTCTATCTGATTCCCCTCAGGGGGATTTGACAGAATCCATAGCTTCATCTCTCATTGCACATGTCTAAATAAATATTAAAGGCAGGCATTTTGCATAAGATATGCTAGGGTACAACACCAAGAATATTTATGCATTTGCTCCTGGCAAAAGCATTTCATGGCTATAGTAATCATCTCTAATTACTTGTTGGTGTCGTGACTTTTTGGCTATTGTTTATCTAACAGCATTTAAACAGAAGCACATTTGCGATAAATTTTTTAAAGGTTGAAGTTAGTATGTGTTTAACATACATGCAAATTATTGGACACACAAATCAAAACTTCCACTGAATTTGCAACAGGGAGTTGAACTTACATAGGTTTAATTCTTCAGATTCCTCCTCAGTCCTTTCCTTTCCCATGTAGCAATTTCCAGCAAAAATGCATCTTATTTCCATGTGCTGAGAAAGACCTAGGCATTCCCTGTCTTTGAAAACATCCAAATCCTCTTAGGCAAATACCCAGGAATGTGTAAATATTGGGGGTGGAGAGAGGTTGCCAGGGTAATCCTGCATTCATAACCAATTCCAGAAAATATATAGACAAATATGCAATATCCTCTGAGTGTATAAACATATTAAGGTAGATATTTGTGCATATGCATATTTAGTACATAAACATTTGATTTGCACCTCATACATGTAAATCCCTCTAAAGGGTTTGTATTTTTCTATCTTGTTTTGCAGCAAATACTGCTCAGTGGAGATGGCAAATGGATAAATCTCACAGATTCTCTCATCAGAAAAAGAATTCTCAGATATTTTTCTCTATCTTCAAGAAGAAATTAAATATTCTTTCACTGAGCATCCTGTAAATGGAAAAGGCAACACTTCTAGGGTAAGTTCCCATTTGTTATGGAAGATGCTGGATTCCTTGTTCTTTTCTGTAGCTATCTCCTTTCTGTCAGCAAATCCCAGCACCACTCTTAAATGTTTTTAGAAATTAACCTTATGTCCTGTCCTCCTGCCTTTCCCTCCGGAGGTCAAACGGTAGGATATGTCTTTAGGTAGGGAAGAAGGGATGCCAAATTCACAGCTGTGCAAATATCCTGTGCCCGTGTGTGAAGAACATTTCAAACAGACAACTCAGGATGTGCCAGAGTTGGTTCAAGATGGAGCAAAAATAATTCACACCACTTCAGTGTGTACTGCCAGGCCTGGGCAAATAATTGATGTTATCCTGAGGCGGATGCAGCTGGTCATTGATCAAAACATAGCTCAATTTTCAAGGTCAGTTCATGTAATCTAAAAATGTAGGATGAACAGGAGCTAGAATTATTTTTTGTCTCATCACTCGCACTTTCTAATTCTGATCTAAACAGCAGATAAAGGGCTGAAGTTTTATGGAGAATCCTGCCATTAAAAGTTCGGTAATAATTTGATACAAATTAATCTTTAAATATTGCTGACTGATTTATTAAGAAGGGAGTGTTTAGCAGAGAGAAAAAGTAGAGAGAACATTAAAATAGCAAGACTGCCATTTATTATGTTATGTGAAGAAAGGACTAATTAGGGTCTCCCTCCACTGTACCTGTGCAGACCTGGAAGAGCCACAATGGCAAAGATCCTAAGATCATCCAAAAAGTCATTGAAACGGCAGGGCAGTAGTTGTTCTATCTCTAACAAAGGCCAAGATGTTGGATTATAATATAGTCCCTACCATTTAGTGTTTCCTCTCTTTAAAACCATCAAATTAGGTCATACCACCATTGTGTCCTTTCCAAAATCTTTATGACTGAAACCCTTCCAGAAGGCAAAAAATTAAATTTCCTGCCTGAGAAGTATGGAAATAGAAAATCTGCCTTGTTTCCTGTTTCTCTTCAGGTAGTTCTACTATTGGATACAAAAACGTCAATTGCACTGTAGTTGGTAATATTGGCACTGTGAACTGTTAAATGAAAGTTTTAATTCTTTAGCCTCTGTTAGTAATTCTGGTAGAAAAAGAAGCAGATTTATAAATCAAACTAAAAAGAAAAATTGGTATGATGATTAGAAATGCATGTGCAATATTTATGTAAGCAGTTCAGCTATAACTCCAGACATATTCCCGAAGCCTGAATTCTTCCTGTGTAATGCTGCTCCTTGTCTGTCATGAGAAACATGAGAAGCAAGATTTCCAAGAAAAAAAACATTTACCTCATATATGTAAAGCACTGGCCAAACTAGAAGCACTTCAACGACTCTATAAATAGTGGCAAACATTAAGAAATGTCATGTAATGAAATGGTTAAGATTCTGTTGGGTTGTTTTTAATTTAATTTCAAATTCTGTGGTCTGCATTTTTTGTATTGTATTCTGCTGGGCTTTCATGAGCAGCATGCTATAAAACAATTCCATTAAAATAAAGTAATTAAAAGTCTTAATTAGCCATCTATGTATAGAGTTATAGGCAGAACAAAATTTTTGAGTTTTAGCTGCTGAAAAAAACTCTGTACTACAGTTTTACTATAGAAGAATGAAGTAATATTTGGATCTGACAAAACTGACCTTGTATTTTTTAAGACACACTTTTAATTTATATGCTATTAGAAAGGATTTTGATCTTGGGAATAAAACAGTAATGTGTGGTGAACACACAAGAGTGTTTTGGCTCTCACTTGGTTCTGGAATTCTAATTCTATGATATGATCCTAGTTTCTCCATAGTGCGAGACATATGTCACAAAGATGTTTTGCTTCCAACAAGTTTTCAGCTTGAAATTATACAGGAGAAGTTGAGGTGCATCGGAGGATGAGTCAAAGAATGATTAAAGCTTCCATTACTGAATCTGATCCAGATTTGCAAGCAAAATAAAAAATGTTTTTCCAAAGCTAAAAAAAATTCAGATTTTCTAAAAATATTCCTTTAGATGTGATTTTGTGAAGCAGAAGTATAAAGCAGAGAAATTCAAAAACAATTAGAGAAGTTCAAAACAATTAGTAACATAATAGCAGGAGCAAGTATGGAGGAAAAGACTATTTCTCTATGTCAGCGATATTCCTGAAATAATGGTAGGTGCAGTTGTTCTTATATGCCCAAGTTATTAATGTTTCTGAAGTGGTGAAAGCAACTGACCTCGCTCTAATGTAATGTACTATTTGGAATTATGGGTGGTTTGGTTTTGTTTTTTTTTTTTTTTTTCCCTAGTCTGGTTTTACTCAGACAAACTGAAATAAACCTCCAATTCAAAGATATGACATATGCTAGTCCCATTGTGATTACTGTACCTTCATTGCTTGTGACCTTGCTGTTTGATGATGTGGCACAATGCCACAGCATAATTCAGTGATCCACTCAATATCATGATTCTTTCATGCAGAAAACAATAAAAAGCATATGGTATCAATTATACTTCACTGTTTCCCTGAGAATTCAAGCACTAGGAATAAAAAACACTGTCTGAAGACTTTGAATTTCCATTAACTGGCAACAGTTGGTATGAATTATTTTTACTGAAGCTGCTCTACCAGCCCTGGGTAATAAAAGAAAAATAGCAATGACATTTGATTGACTTCATTGGTGTGGAATATGTCATGCTTAGAGGGAGCATAAAATTCCAAGTCAGGCAGAGGAATCATTTTATCGAGTTTCATATTTATCATGGAGAAGTTTGGAAGAATGAGTTTCATATTATTTCAATTTCTACAGCATCAGTACTTAGCAGGGTGATTTGTGTGATAAAACAAATATGCCAGATAACATATATACAAATATAAATTCAGCTGCAGTAAAAGTAGGACATGAAAAGGGAGTATTCTAGAATAATAGGACTTTTTGTGTCATTGCAAATGTGTAAATTCTTGCATGTGTCCATTAATACGTTGTAGGGAATTTAAATAACTTAATTGTCATTTCTCAGCAGAGTTCTGTGGGCACCATCCATGTTGAACTGAAGTTCTCAACAGAATTTTTGTACTCTTTCTCTGAGGCAGAGAGGACCTTTCTTTAGAAGTATGTCAGTGCCTATAAAGACACATGTTGGACTTAAGGTTTCAGCTCAGAAATGCATTTACGTGCTTTAGAAATCAAAGCTGAACTGTTAAAACAAAACAATGTATTTTTACTAGAAGCGTATTTCCAAAGCATGGCTTGGACCCAAGTGTTAGAGACTTTGGAGCTGTGCGTATTTTCATGCCTTACTGTCTCTGTGAGAACTTTCTTCATAATTGATCTTATAGAAATCAACTACTATACAAAAGAGGCAGCTTTTGTTCCTTTGTACCTTGGTGTAAGGTACAATTACTCTGCACAATCTGGGCTAATTCTGATGTGGTAACATCTCTGGGAAACTGCAATCAAATTTATATTACACATCCGTCTTAACTTCCAGGATTTATCTGTTTTGCCTACTACCACATTATGTAGAAGTGTTTTTTTTTCCCTATAATTTTCATAACAGGAAAAACTATAAAAGCAATAGCTGTTCAGGTAGAAACTTAAGCTGAACTAATAGTAGCTTTCAAAAACTTATACGTAAGTCATCTGGAATTACCATGATAAAGAAAACATCAATAAAGTACTTGTTAACCAGAAAAACAAAACAAAACAAAACAAAAACACAGGAAAGCAAGTTAACTTCTAGACTTCTGAATTTTGTTCATGATAAATAGGCATTTATCCATGTTAAATATGACTTAATAGACAGGCTTGCTTGTATACCACCTAGCATTGCAAGTTTATGTGCTATGGATTTACAGCTTAGGTTTATTACGCAATATTTATTACTTTCTATTTTTATTCTAGAATTGGAGTTGCAGGAAATGGGGAATGGAATTTAACCTTCAAAGTCTGTAAGTTTCACTGGATGGCTTTACAGAGGAGGTGAACAAATCAGTGTGCTAACGTGGGTGAAGTTCAGAAGCAAGAATATAATTGCAAAATTGCAAAACCAGCAGTATGAAGTAAGGAATCACCAGTAGACTGAAGTCTTTCATCTTTGATATTTGATATCTGTAAAGGTAAGAAATTTGTGATTAATGAAAAACAAAAAATTATGGTCAAAGGAGCCAGTAAGTCCCTGAAAACTCCAGATGGATCTTTGTGGCTTTTGTTAGCATCTGCTTACCAGCAAGGCTTTGTTTCATGTCTTTAATGTTGCAGTTTGAATCACTGCTCCGTTAAAATACACTATATTATATACCTCTGAGAGTAACAGTGGCACTGGGACAGTAGATGAAAGAATGGTGTCCAAGGTATTTGAGAGGAAATATCACATTTAAAATGTTGTCTTGTAGAGGCTCTTTTAAGACCCATGTACACACAAGGAGGCCTTTTGGTTTAGGGTCTCATAACTGCATAATCCTGGAAGTATTAGTGGTAGGAACCTGGACCTCTTCCTCAAAGCACGAGGTCTGTCAGCCCGTCCTGTTGCTGACCCTTGGTGCTGGTCTGTTATCCTCAGTGTGGACTGTTGTTTTTCTTGTTGTCCAAATGCAAGTGTTTTGCCTGATGTCACTTCCAGTAGCCTGTCTTTGGAACGGTGACAAGGCATCCCTTCAAAGCCCTGCTCTATGCTCTCCCTTATTTGGGTCTGTTAACTTCTATGCCTGTGTCTGTTTCACCAGGAAGGAGCATTTCCATAAAGCACTTCCAGTTAACTGGACAGTCACGAAGGTCCAAAGTTGCTCTGTCTTCCCTCTTCTGAAAAATGGTGGAAACTGTTCTGATGGGAAGCAAAGAATTTTCTCTTTCTTGATGTCTATGATGAGAGAATTCTCCTAAAGTTAAATAACTGTACTTACTTTCTGTGAATAGTCTTATTTTCAGTATCACTAGCTCAGTATACAATTTTTTAAATGGCATAGTCAAATTTAGTAATGTTAAGAAAATCGTATATATTTGGAAAACCTTACGATTTATTGTTATGAAATAGCATCTAGTAGTTACACTACCATATTTTTTCCAGGCATCTTTCACTACAGAGACTGATGACTGTTACTACAAATATCCCACAGAGTAGTCGATTGTGCCGGAAGGAGAATAAAATGACGTGCCAGCAGCTACGCGAGAGAGATGATGTGCATTATACTGATTTTATGAGGTTGTAGATCTTGGGAAAAGGAGAGATTTATAATGCCACTCCCTACCATAATTAAGAAAGCGTGTATATGATTTATATGTACGTAGTGGAAAGATGAGGCAATTTGCTGAAAACATCACAGAAAATACAATCTCTGAATAAAACTGATCTATGCAATATGTGCCTTCTATGCCTCAAAGACTCCATTTATTCTACACTAGTTATGAGGCAAATGTTCATTTTTCAAATTGAAAAATGTCTTTCTTTGCTGCATAAGTCAGCCATTATTTTCTCTTTCATATTCGGTGATTTGAAGCTGGCTTAGAAAATACATGCCATGTTAAATGCTGCATAATCTCAAAAACACCACTGATCAACTGTCAGCATAACGTTTTATAAATCTTGTCTTCAGAATGAGAACAGGAATTAGACAGGGATTTTACTTTTAACCAAGCAAAGGCCTGATTTGGCTGATCACATAAGTGTAGGCTTACTGGTTTTGCATAAATGCCATTGAAATCACCTCCAGGATTAAAAAAAAAATAATCTTTGTCTTATAGCTGATTCAGGAACTAAACAATGGCTTGCATGCTTTGCGTTGACTTATGTCAGGGACTGCACACGTGTACATGCAGTTCTTGAAGTAGAGTTTGTTAAGGCAATTTATTTTAAAAGTGTGTGTGTGTGTATTTATGTGTCTCTATATATTAGTGTATATATATATATAAAACTTTGATACTAGAATTTGTGATTTTTTTTCTTACCTTCAATAGCAACTAAAAATTCAGCTATCAAACAACTGCGGGAAGTAAAATAGTCCAACTCATTTGAAAGAAGTGTGAGGGCTGCTCTGAAAGTAATGCCTCCTATTTTATGATGTTTGCCCACAATATGAGAGGTGGATGTTGGTGGTGTGGCAGTAGAGACCAAACCTTCCCAACAATACTCAATTACAAGTTATTGCTTTGTGACAGATGGCAGCAGAGAGGCAGACTGATGGAATGGTGTCTGACATGGAAGTGCATATGGAGCAAAAGTGTGATGTTGAATTTCTCCATGTGAAAAAAATTGCACCCACTAACATTCATCAACACTCGCTGAGCACTGATGGAAACCAAGCAGCGGATGTGAGCACAGTGATGTGGGTGGTGCATTTCAGTAGTGGTGACAGTAGTGGGCCACCTCCACTGTCAGATTCTTACACGGTACAGAGGCAAAGCATGCAGGATCTTATTCATTGCTAGCAAAAATGCATAACTAATGGTGGAGACTGTACTGAGGAGTAGTGTTTTGAAGCTGAGTATTTGCTCTATCAAATAGTGTTGTATCTGTTGTAGTTTCCACGGAAATAAATAGGAGCTTTTACTTTCAGAGTGATCAATTTATGAATATTACTTTCTGTGATATTTTACTCTTTGCACATGTTCCAAGAATGCGCAGGGAAAGCAAGCTCTCAGTAAGCATATAATACAATTTCTAGGGAATATTATAGATAAAATCTGTTTTTAAGAGAAAGTGTAGGAATAATAATTTAATTCATCATATTCTCATAACTGTTAGCTAACATGTCAGTTTATGTTTTGGGAATGAAGAGAGTCTCATCTGGCAACTTTATCGAGGGAAAATTAAGTCTTAAGTTTTCTTCTTAAGTCATCTCCGTTTTCTCCAGCAACATCTGGCTTTGACTCTAATCTTATTTCTAGTTGATTTAGGCTAGTGGAATCACGATGGCTGAATAATAATCTTTTTTTTTTCAAATACAGAATTGCATCAGAAAATTAAAAGTGGCTCTGTTATGTTTCTTATATGTCCTGTTGTTTATATTCAGGGTAACTATTAGAAACACAGGTTTGATTTTTGCTACTTTCCATAAAGCATTAATGGACTGCTTATTAATTTGGAGTCAGAATTAATGTGGAAACAGAATTCATTGCCTGATTAAAAATTCATTGATATCAGTGGTGAAATACCCACTAATGACATCAACCTGTTGCCCCTCACAGTTGTTGCTAACCTAGTGCTTAAAGTATCAGAATGGTTTGCAAGCTGGGTTCATACAAAAGTGTTTGGATATTTTTTGCCCTCAGAAGATAAAAGGAAACAACAAATACCACAAAGGTTTTGTTTGCCAGTTAATAAAAAAGCAGAAAAGATAAAAGCAGCAGAATTCAAATTGTGTGTATTGTCTACATACAAATATGGCAATATAACACCTGAGGGGTCAGTCCTTTCTAAAAGTAATTTAGTTTGTATGCTAATATATTTACAAAATACTACTTATGTTCTAAAGCAAAAATCTATGGTTGGCAGATACAGATTATACTAATATGGCTAATTTTTTTTTAAACTCAAGAATAACCATCTAATTACAGTTAAACAAGAAACAAGTTAAACCATCTAATTACAGTTAAACAAGAACAAAACACTTGCCTCTGCAAGTGAATTATCTTATGTGCTTCTCTAAAGAAAGGAAGTAATCAGTAAATTTATCTCGAATATGTGATGTGATGCTCTTAATTGAAGTTCTTTACCTCAAATTTGTGCTTTCATAATGATATTGTTGGGCTGTCCTGCAGAGAACTTGGGGCTCTCAGCCTCTTACTTCAAGGTTGCAGCAGAAGACTTTTAATCATTTTTCTTTATCCAGAATTGCTTTACATATGGTAGAAAATGTACAAAGTGGTAATGCAGCATGTTATTCAAAAGCAACGTTTGTATAAAGCCATGTCAAATGCATGCATGCTCTGTGTTTCAGCGTGGCAGAGGAGGAGCCTCTCATCTCCAGGCAGTCCAGTCCTTCTCACAGTCACATTGAGTAACAAAGGCCTGCAGTTTGAAAAACTTTGCAGAGCACAAACAAATAACTACCATTTTTTGTATCAGGATCCCAGGATGGCGTGGGACAAGAAGAAGGCCTCCTGCACTACGTGGAACAAGGCTGCACATGCACACACATGCACGCCACTCTGGGTAAGAAGGAAGGACTCCAAGAACTGGTAAAGTACATATTTGTCTGCTTCTATGAAATCACACACAAGATTTTTGCTGCTAAGTGGTATTTTTTTTTCCTCTTTCTGAAAAAGTTCCTTCTAACTATTGCAGGTGGCAAGACCCTATTTTCTAAGCTTGAATTCATGTATGTCCAGAGACATCAGAGGGAAATATCTGAGGTGGGGCAAGGAACTGAAGAGAGACAGGAATGCTGTGCAAGTGTGAGGAGATTGTTATGTTCAACTACTCTGAGGCAGAGAAACTACTGAGAAGGATGAGGCGTGGGGCTTTGTCAGTGCTGCATGTATGTGCAGTTGTGGGAAAGAAGGGTGTCTCAGTGAACAGTCACATCAAAACAAATCTGTCTCATTCCTTTTTTGTTTATTTACATATGTGTCAGAAGTTTGTTTATTTGGACAGCTTGCAATTCTGTTTTTAGCAGGAAAAGTACAGCTAAATCCTTGAATAATGTGAATTGGCACCACTGCACTGAAATCAAGAAAGCTTCATTGATGTATATCAGTCGTTGCATATTCTTAACTAGAAAAAAGTATAATGTAATGCGTGTTGTAAATGTCCATATCCAATATTTTTTCAAGCAGATTCTTCAGCTTGCATGCCTGGATGGCTGAGATATCCTGGCAGGTATATTAGAAAAAAACTTAGTAAATGAAAACTAATATACAATGCTGTTTCTAATATGGTTATATGCTGTTCCATGGTAATCTTAAATAATACTTTTTTCCTATGTGTGCACTAAACATTTCATTGTTCAGTATAGCTTCTTAAGGGACAATACTCTTTATGCTTACCCTTGCATAGAAAAAAGCATAAACAAGATTTATTTAAGCTGGGGATACGCGCTCCATCTAACCATAGTACAAGAGGAGGAAAACTGCTTAGAAACTAGTTTCTCAGCTTAATGGAGTTACTCAGTGGAACAAGTGTGTTGTACCAAACAAACTGTCTGATGCAATGCCAAAGCTCAGAGGCACAGAGGCAGATCTCGAATTGCCTGGCACAAGGCTGTTTTGGCCAGAAGTTTGGAGCATTTGAAGGAAGTGACTGTGAGAGGCAGTGCCCCCCACACCTTGCCAGCTCAGAGCTCAGGGGAAAGCAGAAGCCATTGGCCTTGAACACAATGGATGTGTAATTGGTCTCATGTTGGGAGGAAAAACTGTTTTTGTTGGCATGTCTTCCCTTTAACTTGGCAAAACCTTGGAAGATTGTATACCACTGAACAGTCTGTGGGCTGCTGCCCATCTTTCATATGATCTGTCTTTGATATCACATTTTTTCTTCACAAGATAACAGGGCTTTACAGATAGGATCTTTCTCTGACACTGAAATGATTCCACATCCTTTTCTCCAGGACAAGTCACCTCTCAAGCCAAGAATGTTTCAGTTCAGGTGCATGGAGCCAGACACGCACTTCTTTGAGCTGCATTTGCCAAGGTTTGGCACTTACATTTCTGTCTGATTTTTTTTGCCTCCAGTTTCAGCTTTTTCTATTCTTACATTTGCATATGAAATGTACCCTAGGGTTTGCTGCTCTCCTGTACCTTGGGTTTACAGTGGCCCAGAAAGAGTGTAAAAGAGGCTTCTTGGCATAACGGATCATCTAAATTGTGCTGCCAGAGCTGACCCACCAGTGACAGATACGCAGGAGGTATTTGTGTCTTTACATGTTTAGCCATAACTTCAGAACATCTTTGTTTCTCTGCCCCTAAGAGAAAGGAATGTGGGCTTGCAATGCCTTGACACCGATTCCTATTTCTGAAAGACACCCAGGAGGAAATGAAGTCAAGAGAAGTAGGGATAGGGTAAAGTATGAAGTGTTGTGAAAGGATGGCAGCAGTTGTTGGAGAAGGCTTTATTTTAACATATCAGTGAATAATGAATTGCAATTTCATCCTCTTTTTATTCCCCAGAGTGAAAAGCAGAAGTCTAATTTTCTATTGATACAAAAGGCTTATCAGATAGTAGGCATTGGGTTTGAGAGCATGTCTCAGTAACAACTTGCTGTGCCCATAGAAATAGTAAAGGATACATGATCACGTTCTTTATGGGTAAGAATGTAATGTACAAAGAATATTGAAGATATGGCATTGAAAAAAACAAATACAAAAGAAACTGCTTCTGGAGACCTTATGTGAAATAACAGTTAACTCTACTGTTCAACAGAAATCCTTCTGGCAGGTTGTTTAAACTGCGGTCTCTTATCCAACAGTAGAACTGTTAGAGGAAAAAAAGAGCATTGAGAAGGACAAGGGTTTGGGGTTTTTCTGCCATGTCAAGACTGCAGAGCTTCATCTTAGCAACTTACTGTTGTCATCAGGCAAACAAATAAGCAAAACCTACCTTGTGTACCTGGAAAGCTGAAAAATAGTTCATCATTGCTAGTCACACAGGAAAGGAGGGATTGGCATGTGCATAAGAATTACTGGTCAGCTGGATTTTCAAACTTCAAGAAAAAGCTGGGCTTGCATTTTGAGTAAGGTTTCTTCTTTTAACTCAGCAATGTCCTTATTGCAAATTTATTTTGGCATGCTGCTCATTAAGTAATATGATTCTTGTCTGTGAGAGTTTATATAAAGTATCCTGCATTCCTGAGCACCCAACACTGACTGGCTTTAATGCAGGTTTGTGTTATACCTGCACTTCATGATTGAACTTCATTTTGAGTACCTAAATTTAGCTACTGTACGGCACTCCTGAGGGAAAGAAAATCTACCCAAATAATACATACCCAGATAACACATTCCCAACAAATGCTGCTAGTGTGAAGCACTGTGTTTATTGAATAACTTAGCACGACAGACCAGATCAGTGCTAGCTACAAAAACGTACAGCTCTGTAAATTATATGCTATGCTAAGCAACAAGATGATGCGTTGCATCTCTATGCCATCATTCTATCTTGAATGTTACGATCATATCTGCCAATTGTAGTACAGTCAGAAATTGGGGGAAAAAAAATTAAGTATAACACAAGGTCTTGTGGTTGTATTTAACCAACCCCAAAAATCAGATGTATTTACAATTAAATATCAGGCAAAAGTATTTCTCAAATTTAAGATTTAGTGGGCTCTTAAAACATGTTAACAACAATAAATTCTAGTCACAAGGCTCAAAATACACTTAATTTTATTCAGGAATCGCATTGTGAGTCATGCTTATCATTGAATTATAAATGAGATGGATGTGAACTCCTGAAAAGCCCACCACAATGTGATGAAATGCACGTGCATGGAGATGCTAGATGAGCTTTCTAAGAACTGCATATAAAAATTCAATTTCTGATATTCTATGAGATGAGAAGGTTTTTTTTCTTTTTGCAAAAATTGTAATGTGAATATTTGAATTTGAATCAAATCCAGGTACTATGCCAACACGGATATCTTTAATGCTCTCAGTTTTTTAATTCCTATCTATACGATTTCAGGCGGAAAAGTGTCACATGGCAATTCAGTGTTAGTAGTAAACAGATGAGGGTAACCTGGAACAAGTTATTGAAAGTTATATCCATGTTGGAATGTATTCCTTTTATTTTGCATGACTTATAAAGGGAAGAATAAACAAAATTACATTTATCATTTTGCACCCAAGTGGCTTCTTACGATTGAAAATGCGCTCACAGAATGACATGGCATGATTTTACTCCTTTCTAAGTAAGTAGCTACACATTCCTCTATTTGCACCTTTTCTCTGATTGTCAACTGCAGACCCAAAAATGCAGGCTCTGATTATTGTTATTGTGCAAAAGAGACTGCTGAGCACAGGTATGCAAGTTCAAATAATGGAAACAGTCTGTATCCATCTTTTGTCTTTTTGTATGTCATTTCTTTCAGGTTCTCATCTTGACAGAGTAGAAAGAGCTTATTATCAATTAACAGTGATGTACTTTATTATGCTGTAGTTCAGTGCATACATCAAAAGACCAACCTGAAGGTTCTGGTCAATAATGTGATGCAAACAACTGTTACATTTCCCTGACTACCTTTTCACTTACATATAATTTGTGTTTGTTTCTGGAAGGTGAGGTCTGGGTTTGATAACATCCATGGACAACCCATGCAAAATAAGAAACAGCAGAAAAGAGTGTACTTTGACGAGCAAAATATTTGGGTGAATTTCCTCCTGTATATTTGGAGAAGCTCAGGACTTGGAATTCTCTGAAGCATAAACTAGCTCTTCTTCCTCTCCCCAGAGAACCCGTGAGTAAGTGGTGTGCAAAAGTTGTAATTATATTCACGTGTTTAATCCACAGTATGTTGGGCCACATGGCACTTCCCTGTGCTTATGTCTTGTCTTGGATAAGCTATGTGAAAAATTAACTTAAACCGTGGGAGTCCTTGAACATACCTATAGCACTCTGAAAAATGTGTTTTCCAAAAGGGCTGGGGAAGAGCATGCTGCCAATGACTGCCTGTGGATCACATAACCACCTTGGCCAGCGGGCCAAGCTCCAGGGCACCCAGGCCAGACAAGATTTCCTGAGCTGTGAAATAATTCTTTTGTAATCTCATCAAACCCTGCAGCATGAATCTGCTCTTCATGGGCAGTCTGCAGGCTGCTCTTACTGGAGTGTGAAGCCCACAGTTACTGAGGGGCTGCACAGGACTGCGCATCCTCCTGCCCACATTAGGCAAAACTGATCCCTCCAGTCCATGAGCTTGCTAATACAGAAACCTTCCTGACTACTCAGACTTACATTTCAAGCAGAAATCTCTCTTAACAGAGCAAGGTTACTATGTCAGGCTGTGTCCCAAAACAATAAGGATTGCCAGGAAAAAATTATAGATAATTCTCTCAACCGAAGAACCATGTGTTCCATGCAAATAAAAGCAAATAATCTCACTTGTCATTGAGCAAAACAAAGCATTTGAAGCTAATTCAGAAATTTTCATTCCATCAAAATGCAAGCTTTGCTGGTCTACTTACCTGTGTAGTGTTACCCATAGACACATAAATACGTTAGCATTGCCATGACTCCAGATGTAACAAACATATCCTGATAGAGATATATTGGAGGTCAGTGGAAATCAGCACTGAATCCAGATTTCCCAGTTCACTTTGAAATAACTTTCTGAATAGATGTGCCAAGAGTGGGAATACTTGGGTCATTTGTGGAAAACTGCCTCTGTGCTATTTAACAACAAGCCCTGCTTTTCATTCTGTGACTCTTTCCTGGCTCTGGTACAACTTCTCAACCTACTACTTTTATCATCTTCAGTCACTTTTCAGTGCAGATGCTTTTTTATCTGAGATATGAAAGAAGCGCAATTTAAAAAGCAAAGGATGTTCTTTCAGAAGACTCATCAACAATGCCTGTTCTCTTCAAGAAGCTCAAAGCATTTCACTACCTTTAAATTGCAATGCTTTTTATCTGTCACCCTACCTGTCATTATCTCATTTTTGGGCTTTGTATGTTGTTAGTAACACATGCTCATTTGCCTGATTAGCACCAGGCTTTAATTTCTTTTAATAAGTATGCTTTAGAGTCAGGATGATCTTTATCAAGCTGAATAATTTAACTTTGCCATGTAGAATTAATTGAGATGAAGACTGTCAAATGAAATGTAAAAAATAATCAGTAGTTCTCATTAGGAGATAATAACAAGATATTTTTTGTTTATCACCGTTGTTTTGGCCCCAGAGTCAAATTTTATTATTTATTTAATGTTCATTTAAGTACATTTGATCTCATCTCGCACCGTGCAAATAAATAAAATCCTCAACCCTCTTTTGATGGCCAATAATCAAGAGCACAAAATAAATACTAAGAAAGAGATTTAAGAATAGGTTGCTAATTTAAGCACACAATAAATATGTAACAACTGAGGAATGAGCTGAGGCAGTCACTGTTAGAAATCAGTTATCATCTCCAAGAACATACTGAGTAGTCCTAATACAATGTGGAGAGGTTTGAAAAAGGAATTAAGGGGAAAAAGGGAGGGCCAGGGTAGCTGTAGTCATTAAAGAAATGACTGCTTTTTGTTCCCCTTCAAGAATGTCCTACATTGGGGATCATAACATCACCTAATCGTGTTCAAGTCTTTGCCTGCTCTCTGCACATCAAAATACTATGCACTGTGTTGCCTAGCACACTGCCTATGTGTCCATACTGAATACACCTACTGTAGCATCTAGAACTTTTTACCAAGGGCCGGTGCAATGTGTATAGGCAACAAGGCTGTGTGACTGATGTAGAGGTTAATTGGAATGCTGTTACAAACTGGGACCTAGGGAGGCATTTTAAATGCACAAGGACCACTCCAGAAGTAATACCTTCTTTTTTATGGTGTCAGCCCATGGCTTCAGAAGCTGATGGTGGTGGTGTGGCAGTAAAGGCTGAACCTTCCCACCAATATTCCATTACATGCTGTTGCTACATGACAGATGGCAGCAGCAGGGCAGCCTGACAGAGTAGGATCTGACATAGAAGTGCATATCAAGCAAAAGTGTGACGTTGAATTCCCCCATGTGAAAGAAATTGCAACGAGTAACATTCAACAGTTGCTGAGTGTTGATGGAGATCATGGATGTGAGTGCAGTTCAGCAGTTGTAACAGTGACAGTGGGTCACCTTCCCTGGTGCAGATTCTTACAAGCACAGCATGCAGGCTCTTGTTCATCACTGACACAAATGCATAGCTAATAGTGATGTCTATGCTGTGGAGCTCTGTGCTCTGTAGCTGAGAATTTGCTCTATCAAATAATGTTATGGTGCTCTTAGTATCTGTTGTAGTTTCCGTGGGAAAAAAAAGGAGGCATTACTCTTAAATCAACCTATGCCATTCTTTTCAGCGCTTCCATTAATGAGTATAAAAGTGAAGACTGGATAAATTGGTGAAATATCTTAAGTAAACCACATGAAATTGAATGCAAAAATACAAATTATGATGTGTGGATGGAAAAATATTACGTACAAATATAAAGAAGTGACCTTGTAAGTACGCAATAATGTCATGTAGAATGGAAAGGAAATTTTAATTTGGGTCCAAAAATGAGTCAACCATGTAATACTATTACAAAAAGAAATAATTCTGGATGTTTGTGCATTTGTTAGGTTGTATACATATCTATTTGCAATACTGTAGAAACTCATTGGGAACATGATATATAAAATTTAATGTAAAAGAATGGTAAGAGGAGAATGTAAGGCCAATAGAAAAACTGGAGGATTTCAGTTTGTTATGTAGAGGATAGAAGACTTGGTCCAACCTTTCTCTTTTGAAAAACCTGGTGGGGAGGAGTATGGTTCTGGCTCATCCTATCCCTGCTAGGGATAGTGTGGGGAATAGTTTGGTTAATGTACAGCAACAGGATTTTGATATCTGGAAGAGCTGTTCAAGGTGGCTATGAAGTCTTCTCCCTTGGAGATTTTTAAGAGTAGGGCAGTTAAATATCTCCCATACTGGGAAAACTCAATGATTTCCTTCTGTCCATGTTTCTGTTTTCTTCCAGAGTATTTACAGAGCATGGAGAAAGGCAGTGGAGAGTCATAAGGAGGGCATTTGCGTCAAGGTATTGCCTCAGCCAAGGAGACCCAAAGCATTCTCATAGTTCTAAGGTGATAAGACGTGGGTTAAAACAGGGATCCATGCTGAGCTAGTACAGACATTGTGAAATGGAAAATAATTCTACAACTGCAAAATATTGGCAGTGTTTCAAATCAAACAAATTCTTCCTGCTTAAATGATCAGTTTCTACATGATGGCAGCGTTATTTGCCTCCTGGATTTTCTTTGTGTTGTCTCATATTTCTAGGACTGTGGTAAACATGAAGGTCATAATGAACTGTTCAAGGAACGTGAGGTTTGTGGGGTTAGAGATGTCATCCCTGTTGCCTACAATTGAATTTGAGAAGTAGAAATCTCACCCTTTCCAGCTCATTATTTGGCAGTGTGCCCAATGAAGTAATTTTCCTTTGATTATGCAGCCAGTCATGAACTTATGAATAGATTTGATGATTGCATGCTGTATTTATTTATTTATTTTCACTGTATGGATTTTATTCTGACTAGAGGCTATACAGTATGTTATGCTACCCATCAGACTTGGCTCCACAGTCAAGCTTAAAGAACAGTTTTGATCTTGCCAATTTGTTCAGCCTACAGTCACTCAGCCCACAACATATTGTCAGCTCTGCTGAAAAGAGCCAAATAAGACTTTACCATAATGTTTCCTCCCTGCTTCCCCACAAAAGACAGTACATTTCTTGAAACAGATTGGGCAGAAGTTCTTGTGGTACTTGGCCAAGAGCTCTGTTAATATTTCATGGGCTCAAAAGGAGCAGCCTGGTCATGTTAACTGTTGAGTGCTGAAGGGGAGCCAGGAAGAGAACAATTCTTTCTCATGGAGTTACAGGGACAGTCTGCTCATAATATATCTATATTTTTATGAGCTACAGCAAACTGTGAACACAGGAGGAAATGTAATTTCCCCTATAATGCTGTGCTGAAGAGAAACAACATGTCCTAAGCTCACAGAATAAGGGCTACTGAGCTGCACATGAGGAATAAAATCCTCCTCAGGCATCCATGCTGCACATGGCAACATATTCCGATGCAAACTGAGAAGAACGTTCTTCAGAAGTGTTCTCAGGATAATCCTCAAAACTTTGTAGAAAGGTGCATTTCAAGATGAGATTGCTCTCAGCAGTTGCCAGCAACAGAACAGAAACACCAGAAAAAGTTATGAGGCATAACAGTACAAGTGTATTCCTGGATACCTGCAACTTAACAGATCTCCTCACCTTAGGTGTTTCAGTGTACCTGAAGAGAACCATAGGAAGCCAACTGGTACCAGGATGCCACACATTAGACCCTGATCGTAGAATCATAGAATGGCTTGGATTGGAAGGGACCTCAAGGATTATGAATTTCCAACTCCGCTGCCGCAGGCAGGGCCGCCAGCCTCCTTATCTAATACTAGGCCAGGTTGCCCAGAATCCCATCCAACCTGGCCGCTTTATGTACCTTCCACACAGACTGGGATGGGTGTTTTTTAATTCTGAAAGAACACAAATCATGGCACTTTCCACATTTTGCAGGTGATTTTGCTGTGATGCATTAGCATAACAGAGTGCCCACAGCATCATTTTATGTAAGAAGGCAAGCACAAGGAATGAGTTAATGATACAGCAGAGAGTCTGCATCTGGCTACTTCGCCATACTGGTGATGAACAGAAGATCAGGAAGTGGTGAAAAAGCATGACATTAAAGAGCAAGAGCAGAACCATCATACAGACCCAGACCATTCTTAAAACTTGAAAATTAGAGATATAATCATAATAGAAACTTCATGTTCTAACTTAATTTAGGTTCTCAGGAAGAATTGCAGATGCTTTCATTCCACAAAGCATGTTGCCTGGACAAGTGTTCAGGAATTTTTTGCCTGCTGGCCGTGACAACGCATGTAGCTGGTAAGGTTTATGTATTGTGGCCAGGCAACAGAACAACTTCTCTGTCTCTCTCTCTCCATCTTTCTCTCTTCCTTTCCCTCTTCCCAGTCTCATTCCCACTGGGCATTTCTTTTGAGTTTTGCTGCCAGATTTCTCTCCTGCCAGGCATTTTGCTTGTACATTTCCAGAGCACTCTCTTTTCTTCTAAGTGTTGGCTTTTCTTTCTTCTCCTTTTCCTCCTTCACTTGTACAGAAATCTACTGAAAAAAATATACACATATATTTTTCTTTTTCTTTTTTTTCTATTGCCATTTTGTGTAGCTATTGCCTACAGGTTTTTGTAAATAAAATTTCGGCTAATGCATGTGTGTGATATTTCCGTTGGTCTGACACTTTGCTTCCCAATTACTCGTTGCTTTGATTGGTGCTGATTGTCTTTCAGAGCAAATGTTGATGCAATCTGTGCTTCCAGGTAACTAGCATAAAGCCTCACCAAACAGAAAATCTGAGTATTTTGATTCTGTAGAAGCACAAAGCTGTGAAATGATTTGAATGTTTTCAAACTGTTTATTAAAATTAAATTCCCTTACATGAACGGCACAAGTTTTTATTTTAGTGGAGGAAAAAGAAAGATTTGTGGAGTGAAATTTTCTGCAGTATTATATTCTGCTGCTTTTAAAAAATGCACTGAGGACTTTGAAGTATTGTGTTAAGTGAAGAACAAGCTTAGCACGAGAAATGGTGTCTGCTCTGTAAATGCTGATATGTGTATTTTAACACCAAGTAAGTATTATCAAAATACTTCCAATTGGTTGCTGAAAACAACTTTTTCTGTATTTAAGATTGTTTTGTATTCTTTTATATACCTACGATGAGGAATTACCTGAGTACAAGAGGTTTTTCTGGGAATGCATCCAAGAAATGCTAGCGGAGGCTTTATAGTTAATCAGTTTGTCAAAAGCAAGACTTTTTCAGCATGCGGCATCATTCACTTAATTTTTCATTAAGACTTTTAATGTAAGTGCCATTGAAGCAAGCAGCTGTGATGTGGAAATGTTTGTTTATGCAAGATCACTTGAAAGTCCTAACTCTTCATCTGTGCAACAAGCTGAACTACAGATCCTGAGCACTGCTGAGCAGCATCACCCACAACAGCCACACACTCACTACAATCTTCCTTAAAGTTTGTTCTCCGTTTGTACATCATAACAGAAGTGTTACTCATAAAGGATTTAAAGTCTCCAAGCATATGCAGACGCTTCCACCATTAAAGTGGATTCAGGTGCTTGGCATGACTGTCTTCAGGCAGATTTCCTTTAAATAATTGATAGCTGCCGTCCCATTGCCCCACAGTAATGTATCTGGATGTGCTCTCTTTGCATTTACGGGGGGTTCATACAAGTTGCTGGCTGACAGAACGTGTGGTATGGATCTCTCACTTTATTTTATTAACATGATCCATTTTCACTTTCTCAGATGACAAACTGTGCGAAATGAGCTTTCTTGCACCTACTTTAATATGATGAGAAATGTGTATGTCAGCCACAGCTGTCCTGAAAATGCTGTAAAACTTTCAATGGTGTGAGGCACTTGGATTTGATTGCCAGAAGATGTTGAGTGAAAAATGGAGAGAGACACGTTTGAAATCAATCTTTCCAATATTTAATTGTGAAGAACTGAGTTGCATTTTGATGTATCTGTTTTCTTAAGAGATAGCCATAGCTCTCCTCTGTGGTGTCACTATCAAAATCTTGCCACTGGTCAAAGTCAGTATGCTGCAAGCATCGAACCAAGAACTTTCCATTAGGCGAGTTAGTCTGTTATGACTTTGGTCAAACCTACCTATTTAATACAATAAACCTCATTAATCATGTAGTGAAAACGTTACAGAAGAAAGCCTTCCTTTCTCCCCTTTTCTCTGGTGTTATATTCACCATTTTGAAGTCCCTCAGAGTCCTCAGAGTAGTGGTTTTGAGTTTTCTTGAAAGGAAGAGGAAGTTCACGATGATGATGTGAGCATACTGAGAACAAACAAATTTATGGTTGTTTTTTTTTTTTTCTGTGATGAATACCAATTCATTTACCAGCCTTTCCCAAGTATGGTTTCCCCAGAGCTAAAACAAAAGAGATGAGGAAATAAGCAATGACCTGGCAGTCAGGAGACTTCAAATCGCAGTCATTCATCTTCTCTTCCACATCAATAGATGGTCAGATTTTTGTGAAGGTGAAAGAGAGTTAGGGCTATGATGTCTTCGGGTGGTCACCTATTTCAGACTTTTGGTTCGAATATATTCCAGAATTCCTGACATATTTGTCAACCTCGTGTGAGACTGTTTTATTAAAGTCTGTAGTTCCCCGAGTCCTCCTTTTTTATGTTTTATAAAGCAGGTCAGAAATTTGCCTTTTTCTTCAGACACAAACTTGTATAGTTTCTGAGACCAGACATAATAGACTTGCAGGCAATGCAAAACAATGCTCTGGTTGGGCTGAGGTCTTGCTGATATAATTCTGTGGATTTAGTACTTGGTAGTTAGTGGCTCTCCCAGCATGACAACTCTAGTTTCTTGATAATCTTTTTATTGTTAGAAAATCAAACTGATTCATGATTTGCAAATGAAATTAACCTCTTTTCCTTTCTTTCTTTCTTTCTTTTTTTTTGTTTTTGTTTTTAAGAATTGCAGTAAGTACTGTGTCTTGCTTTTCAGTTGTGATTGCAGCAGCAGAGGAAATGCACGTGATATTTTTTGTCACAAAGAATAGGCACTGTAAGTACTGAGACTCTCTATAGGAAAAGAAAAAATTCTGTATTTTCAACATTTTACTAGTTTCATTGATATTTACTGTTTTCAATATTGCTTTGGAAAATCTGTGTTGTAGACCTGATTGATGAAAAGAATTTGGAAAAAGTGTAATATTTCCCAGACAGTGACATATGAACATAACCTGCATACACTTGAAAGATGTGGATGCTGAAGTTGAAGAGAACTAAGTTATATCAGATTTGGTAAAAGCTAACTCTTTTTGTCGTAGGTGCGAATTATGCTCTGGAACTCTCTCCTGCAGATCTCTTTCAAAAAATCCATTGTGGGTTCCATTGTTTTAAATGAGATGTTTTATTTTCCAGAAGACTAAAAGACATATGACACAGTTTTGCAGCTCTCATGTTTGAAAATTGCTGGTTTTGTCCAGATGCTGAACACCTGTAACCTCAGATCATTTCCATCTACTTGCATTCTCAGTCTCATCCTGTATGAGGCAGCTGTACTGGTGATTGGAGTAGCTCGGTATCATTTCCTTAACCACAGCCAGCACTTGCTGCCCAACAGAAAGGCGCTTCCCCCCCTAACTCTGGCAGTTTTATTTCAGCACCAAGTAGGGCCCAGTTCCTTAGGGTGCTGAATTCTTTGTATTTCTGACACTACAACATAAATGTTTTGTGGCAGCTTAATTTAAATTTAAAGAAATTGAATTCCTTTATACACTGAATCATGAAAGCAATACATTCAGTACAGTGACAGGTTCTACTATTTTGCTTGCTTACCACTATTAACTTGGGATTATTTATTCTATTAAACATAATTTATAGTTTTCAGGAATGTCATTCTCACAGAATCACAGAATCACAGAATCACAGAATCACCCGGGTTGGAAGGGACCCCAAGGATCATGTAGTTCCAACCCCCCTGCCTAGCAGGGCCACCAGTATCATTCTCAGTATACCAGTATACCATTCTCAGTATGCTAAAGGCTGTTGCATTTACAACAACCTAGGTATGAGCATTCAAAAGTTATCCAAACGATTTTAATACTGGATGACAGAAGATGGGCATGAGGTGCTTCCTTCCAAATGTAAGGAAGAATGCTGATTTTTATACTGACATTTCTGGCTCCATAACAGACATTTGTTCAGACAAAAGAGATAGTATATAGTCACCAATGTTGTTATTTCAGGCAGCTTAGAGAGAAGTAAAAAGGAATAAATAAATATCTCATTTATTGTTGGTTTAGGTCTGCCATACTCTGCCAGCAAATGTGATCCCACACATGATCCCAGAGCACTATTTCACCACATTCATGAGGACAGTGAGCTATAAAACCTATTCTTTTGCCTTTACTGGATAATTTTGTGTCCTGATGTAAGCAATGTTGCAATTGTATTCTTATTTCATTTTGTGTGATTAAATAAGCTCTCTGATAGCATGCACGTTCCAATATTGGTGAATTTTGTTCAGTCAGGACAACAGCATGTATACTGTTGGTAGCACTGAAAGCAACATGAAGGTGACCTTTGGAGAGGAAAATACTTTCTAGTTAAGGCAACGATGTTCAGGAACAAAGGAATGCATGTAGCAGATGACAGTTTCAACATTGCTTTGTACTGAGAGACGTGGTTTAGTAGACATGGTAGTGATGGGTTGGAGGTTGGAATAGATAATCTTAGTGGTCTTTTCCAAGCTTAATAATTCTATGGTCATAAGATACTTCGTTTTTTTCCTTGTAGAAAGTACCACAGAGATTACTCCTGCCTAATGAGTACCATACAGAATTGTATTGAATGTTGAACTTCAAATAAGCATGGTTTGTGTTTGTTTTGAAATTTTCCCTTTGTTGTATACATCCATTTGTTGTCTGTAGTGCCCATTTGTTGCATTGGAAAGCTGTGCAGTGTATGTGGCTTTAGTACTTTTCTCCTAGGGGAATGGCACCTAACTAAATGGCATCCATGGTGATAGCAGTTACACATCATGAAGTCTACTGGGCTTATGTCCCATTGTTTTTAGTGGGAGTAAAATTTTACTATATCCAGATTGTTGCCTCTTTTCCTATTTGTTTTTAAATGTAGCCTTTATTTCATTAAAGGCCAGAATAATTTGAAGTTATCTTTGTAGATCTTTGTTATCTTTGTAGAAGCAGATCTTTGTTTTTTCTTGTCTTCTCTCTTTCAGGGAGAATAAACCAGGGAATCAAACTAAGTTGTAGCTGATGTGCTATGCTGATGTATG